CAAACTGGGTATTCTCCTTCCATCTTACTCTTGGTCTTGCATAGTGCATTATAGATAAGTAAGACTCAAATTCACTTTAAAACAAGAAAGTTAAGTTCAAATAGTTATCAACATAAAACCAAAAATATGTATTAATAAAGCAACAAACGCTAGTCTTAGGACTTTTCAGTATTGACCATATTCTGTGAGCAGAGGTACAGACAGCTGTACAGGCACAAGCTGGAAGCAACCCTGTGAAATCTCGAGTAGAAACTTAGAATAAGATTCTTAGTGTATCTAGTTTAAAGGCAAACATTTTATATCATCCACTTTGATGTTTTGTAAAAAGGGCACTAGATGTACAAAATACCACAAGAATTCTTGTGGTGTGAGTTTCAGAATTGGAGAAGCATCATGAGTTTCTTTCCAACAAAGATGGAAGATAGTGGTGCTGTGGCAATACAAATGAGGACCCCAGGATTTCCTTTAATGCATAGCTCACCATTATGTGGCATCCAGAACCAAATTCATCGTTACACTTAAAGTTGATATAAAAACAGTGAAATATTACAAAGCATGATGAAGTGGTCTTAGATGCTATCTTAGCAAATTGATCAGTACTTCATACTAAAATTCAAGATTTTCTGCATAGTACATGCTCAACAGGCTCACAGCAGGTTCCAATGAAGTCATTCTTGGACATACCCCACCACATCCCATCTTAGCCAATAAAAATACAGCCCTTACATACAGTTCCAGTGTTTAAAGACCCCAGAGAGCTGCTATAACACCAGTCACAAGAGCAGCAGCATCACTGCTCTAAGTCACAATGGAAATGCTGGAATCTCACTACCCACTGAGAAACATCTGGCTTCCAAGTCTCTCATAACACAGAGCCAAGTGATGCTCCCATACTACACAGCAGTGAATTTGGTTGGTTTATTCACCACTACCCTTGTGAGCTTGAGACATGTCATTTTTCTTTTGAGGTGGTCTGAAGTGGGCCCAGTGAGACAACGGCAGCAGAAAGCACCAGTGTTGACTACAAAGCCATTTCATAAGCTCTCAGAGGAAGTTTAACAGCCTCAAACTATGGGCAGGGGTTATATGCACAGACCATGAAAGCTTTAGAGGCAGGTACAGCTCCTGACAAGTGCCAGTGCCTCCCCTCCTACCTGAAATAACCAGAGGATGTGGAAGGAGAGCACCACAGGGCCAGGGCCTTGTGGCTGCCCCAGACAACCCCATCAGCCCCGCCTGCTGCTGTGAACTCAGTGGAACAGTCAGGTGTTCATTCCTTACTGCTGCCAAAATATTACTAGCTCTAGGCTAACATTTGAAAGATGCTGGTTTTTTAGAAGTCATTTCAGAATACTTTCCAAATCCCTGCTGGAACATTGCACTGGCTAGAAGTGAAAAAAATGTTAACAATAATTAAAAAAAAATAAGACCTTTTTAACTTAAAAGCTCCTGTGAAATAAAGCTTTCCTTCATAGTGAAATTCAAATACCTGCTGATACAGCAAGTGGAAGAAGTTTGGAGGTCTAGCAGCACCCACAAAGAGCAGGAAGAGCTGCTAATTAAAGCACCTAATTTCACTTAAGTCCAAAGTCTTTTGCAAGAGATTGGAAAGCTCTACTATTGAAGTTAATACCACTTAGCTTTAAGTGGTATTAATCATAGTTCAAGATTATTTTTTAAGTATTAGTGATGTTAAACTCTGCAGAACATCTTGTACAAATGCAACTGTACACCCCAATTCCCAGTATCTTCATTAGTGCATAAGAGACTAAGGAGAGCCTCTTAATGCAGTTAGACTGAACAGCTACCATTAACTTGCATTCCTAAAGAAAAATCCTTCTCTGCAGAGCCAAACAAGTCAACTTGCACTAACCATGTCTGGTTTGGGGTTCACTGATGGGCTGGATTATTCAGAAACTTAAAGAACTACAAAGCAGCCTGATTAGTTGCATTTATATTTTTTTATTGTTTATTATGACTTAAAGAGTTTCTATTACTCCAGCTGGGTCAACCACATTTGAGAGTAAGTTTAACTGCAGGACTTCAGTTTCAGCCAAAATCATTTTTGCATTACTTTATTGTAATATAGATTTAAATTTAACATTTAAAACTTACTTCATTAATAAGCAAGCCAAGCTCAGTAGCTTCAGTGCAGGATGTACTTTAGGTAACTTGCCGCACATTCATGTTAGATTTGATGTACATGGAGAAGAGACTGGTCAACTATACGATTCATAGGAAAAAGCAAAAGTAAGCACCATTTTTACCAAACTAGACAGTTCTCAATTCAGTGTTTCTTCCAGGAAATCAACTCACTTCAGGCTCCAGGACCTACAGTTTGGATAACAGCTGAAAGCTATTTCCAAAACATCAATTTTCTACACTGACACAAGAAATAGTCTTTGAAGCAACAGGTACTGGACTTTTTTTTATTGTGGTTTTTTTTTTTTTAAAGAGACAACCTGTTCTCCTTGTGTTTACCAGGTGAATACATGCATTTTTTTGATCATTCTGGCAGAGGTTAACAAAGAGCAAACAGTTGGGGCTAAATGAAAAACAATCAAAAAGTTGCCAAATATTTAAGATACAAGCAAAAAAACATTAACACAACCAGTTTAATAACTAAGCCTGCTTTTTTCAAAGAAAAGTGGCACAAATTAAATAAAAAGCCAGACAAATTTAGTCTTAGATGGTACTGGTCTGAATTAATGCTTAAAAGCATTAACAGGATTTATTTCACTGTAAGAAAGGTGAGAAGTAATTTGAACAGGCTCTGTATATTTGGGCTAGACCAGAAGCACTGTTACAGTTTAGTCCATATATGCAGAACTGATACCAATATGATGTTACCTTTACCACATGTAATAGTAAAGTGTGTTAGAAGTCGCAGAGCATAAGCATCTTAGTTGTACAAGCCAGTTAATGAATAAACAGAAGAACTGAAGAATGGTTCTCACACATGTCCTTTCTGTTCAGGACTCCACATTTTCCTTTTGGAAAACAAAAATCCCTCTGCCAACAGCCTAATAAATACTAACAGATATATTTAGATACCATCTTCAAAATCTTTGTTGAAAATGCAGTCTCCAAATGAAAACTAGCTTTATGCAGTATTAATATTTCACATAAGTCTTATAAATCATAGTTAATAGCAGTAACTGAAATTAATGTATATTGAGTCTTCAGGTGATGTGCAAGTTCAGCTATGTAACACAGGTGGGGGTTTTGAACAGTTCTTACCACCTTGCTTTGGACAGTTCTTACACTTGTCCCATGAACTATATATAAAACCTCTAGCTACAGTACTGTGCAGGTGTTGACATCTTCAAGAGCTCTTCAATGTAAAGAAATCTGATGGAAGCACCACAAAGCAAGGAAATCACGCTCTTTGTAGAGAGCCTTGACTTCTGAGAATTTAACACATCATTGCTGTCTTGCCTTGACTACAGAACACCAGTCAGAGGACATCAGGGTAAAAAGGAGCCAAACTACAGTGAAGTCTGCTTCTAACAGGGAAGATAATGCAAAAAAGATTGACTCTACAAGCACATAAGCAAAAGTCTTGAAGAGCTGTGTATTATCATGGAGCTCAAGGTGCCTTAACTTAGCTAGAACATCACAAGTTTTTAGCATTGTGAATCTAGCATAGCCACATTTCATCCAAGAATCAGCCTATGCTTCCAGTTAAAGCATGCGTGCCACCTCACTAAATACCCCTTCCCAACTTGCAGGTTTGGAGCTCTTCCTTTTCTTATTCCTTCTCTACTATCCCTTTCCTAGGCAGAGATTTAGAGGCCCTAAAAGCCAGAGCTTCTCCACCAAAGACTTGCTTCACCTACATGTAAATAGTTAGGACACTCTTTGAGACTGACATATCCTTCCCCATCCAGAAACAGATTTGCAGTACATCAGTCTTGATCTCTAGTTCAGTTTTAGATTACGCTTAAGTTACGGCAGCCAGAGTTCAATCCTATGAATGTAAGCTCGACACAAGAAGAAAGCCATTTATCCTTTTTAATTCATCCTTACGGCATGTTTATCCAGAGCTTTATAATCAACTTCCAGTTTTAAATTATTTTCTTAGCACTTCACAGAACCTGCATGTCACTCCCTCCTGAAGGAGATGGCATCACACAGAATTTCGTTTAAGTTAGTCCAAGTTTCTACATGTGACCAGAAGTCTTACTTGTTAGAACACACCCCTTTTCCAACTATTCCCCCTCATTCCCTCTCCTCCCACCCCTCCCCAGCAACGGGCAATTACTTCACAAGAAATGTAAAATGGGATATGGGTGTACACAAAACCTACCCTTCACTAATACTGAACAGAAAAGCCTATTTCCCAATTACAGGACATCTTTCTCTAAATTTAGGTCAGCACTGGTGCAGTCTGCACTGTGTATGATTACCACAAGGATAATACCAATAAGTACATATATTTTCTCAAACCAATTTAAAAACCTATGTAGTTAATTGGGGAAAAGTTTAATATTGCTACTTTAGAGCACTAAAACACACAAAGTGAATCCAATAAAGATCCTTGTATTGATTCAATATTAACTGCATGACCATCATAGCACCTCTTTACATTATCACACAATCACCAGAATTATCAACTGCTTTTAAAACTAAAAAGGGTACAGTCCAATATTTATAACTTGCACACTGTTACTATAGAGAAACTAGGTGCATGGTACAGTGCTGCAAAAATGGAAGCCTGCAGTTTTGACAAAGATGCCAAGTCATGTTGTAGACAATTTCAAACTGGCAATACTGTTTTAAGCAAATACTCAACACAGCAGGAAATAAAGGACAAAAAAAGCATTCTATAACCAAATAAACATCTGAAATTTCCTTTCCCTTTGAAGAATACAAGTAAGGTCACTTTTAGCCTTGGAACGGATACATGTTCGCCTATGATGATCTTGCTAACTACTACACAATATCTGATGTCCTCTGCTAAGAATATAGTTTAAGAAAGCCGCAGTTACAAGAGGCATCTAACGTCATGTCTAAAATTTCCTTTATGGCAATTATTGAATTCATTTGTCTTAAACAGTGAATATGGAAAGATGGCCTCACGTTTCCTTTTCAATAGTACTCTGAGGATCAAGTGGCTTTCAAGCAGCATGGTGGGTTTGAAGTTTTTGCAGTTTAGATCATTCTGTTGCGTTTATGAGTTGGTGAGTCTGTAATGACATCGCCACACTGGGCTGAGGTACGCTTTCTAGTTCCACCATTGTCCAAGTGGAGTGCCATTTCTTCTGATATGAAAGTGTTCAAATCAACATCATGGAGTCCATTTCTCCTTCGACTAGCATTGGAGCCACTGCTCACATGAGTGGGCGAGCCTGGGGTACTTGAGCGAACACTTATACTAGCCATTGCACCACTAAGACCTAGGGGAAAAAAAAAGAAAAAGTTTTAGGTCAAACAAAGAAAGTGAATTTCTCATGTGTGGCAGAAGGGATGACACTTAGATCTGACTTCTAGTGAGACGTCACAGGCACTTCATTCTATTATTTGTACCACACTTATTTGAAGTCCAGACCACACCTTCTCCCCTTTTAGTCTGTGTAAGAATCTAGCAATTACTAGAACTGCTTTTTATGACATTACAAGTGAGCTTATACACCAGGATTTTACTAGCACACTGTAGCAAATGCTAGCTCTGTAATCATTAAAAGTACAAAAATGTGTGTACATACTCAAGGGTGCACTATTTCGATATGAAGGCTTCACACTAGACCAAGAGTTACACAGAATGAAAATCCCGCTACCAAGGGCTTTCCAGGTTGACCTAACTTTGCCTTGTTTCAAACACCACCACCCTGCTCCCCTTCACTCCCTCAGTTATTGTAGTCCTGAAGAAAACTGCAGCGTGACAGCAGACCTCAGCCAGGTCTATAACACAGCCACTGTTTAAGCAGAAGCTTTATTTCTTGGCTACCACTATTAGCCAACACATGAGTATTAGCAGAACTCAGAAGAGCACTTGCACATAAAAATAAGCTAAGACACCCCATGACAATCCCTTCAAATTTACTATTGACAGATCTGATCCAAAACACTGTCACAGGTACCCTGCAGTCACTTTGGTTTGTGTTCAGGTTATTAATAAAGTGTTCAATTAAAACAGAAAGTTTATTTCTTGTAGAAACAAAGACATAAACAAGAAAATCATTAACCTCATACTAATTTAAACTTTTTGTCTCCGGTAATGTTACTATTACAACTGTGCAAAAGCAGGACATTCCAAAACATGAGTTGAGTACATAAAAGCCTAACAATCCTTCTCAATTTGGAATTCAGGCTATATTTGTAGATAAACAAGAGCTCAGAGTTAAGACAAATATATTTGCTATCATAACTGCTTCAAATATGAATATTATTAGGCAAGTACAAGAACAACTCTTGGCCCTAGAAATAAACTACCAAAGCAAGAGTCATGCAGGAAGATGAACAGCAGCAGAATAAGATCTACATCTGTTTATTTTTCTAGCAATAAGAACAAGCAAATGTTAAGCTGGCCAGGAAGACTTCTGTCTCAACCTCCAAAATCTTGAGCTCTCTCAGAGGTTTTCTCCAGTCTCAAATACTCTATGCTTTTGTCCAGTCATTACACATCTTGTGTGTGTGTAAAGCCATTTAATATGTATCTTCATAGATAGTCAGTGTGTCACTTCTGGCTGCCTACTTGACAAGTCAAGCCTAACAAAACCATAACCAGTAGAAACTGCCACCAGTCACAGATGCTTTCTTAGACCTTTTGCTTACAGCTCTAAGTGGTGTTCCAACATGACTCAGAATATGGTTTGAAGTCTGATAGGGACCCTGCAGGTTTTATTAATATTAAAATCATCTTTCACTCACAATAGCAAAAAGTATTTAAACAGCAGGAGCTGTTTTAATGAAAAAAGAATTCAGAAACAAGGTTTGTTCCAGTACTCCCAGGATAAGGGTCAAACTTAAATTCAAAACAATTATGAAAAGAGGTTCCTACACATCTACCAAAGAAAGTAAAGTAGCTAACTGGATGACATAGGTGTATGAGCAGAAAGACAATTCAGGAACCATAACTTTGATAAACCACCAACATGCAAGATTTGAGCAGGTAACAAGTCACTTAGCAATTCAGAGACAACAGCAAGTTTAATTCCAACTGTCATGACATACATTAGAAAAAAAACATTAATTCATCCTGTACATTTCAACTGGAAACAATCTGACAGTGCACAGAGTGTGACATGGTTTCAAATCCAAATTTATGGCAGAGATCTCCCCCTTACATCACTATTCCAAGCAAAACTGCTCTGAACACACAAGTTCAGTTTTATTACTTCCACTGAGAGTCAATTTACACCACTTATACAACCCATAACCAAATGGCCAATATACTAATTCAGTTTTACCATGACATCTTTTCATTATGTCTAGTGCCCAAGCAAAGAGAAAAGTTACGTTAAATAAGCCCCAAAACCGACCCAGGATGCAAAAATACACTTTTTGGCATCACTCAAGAACTATGTTTAAGTAGAGCCTTTCCAAGTAACAAGCATTTTTTAAAATAGTGTATTTTGTCAGAATTAAAAGATGCATCTGTAATACACTGCAGCATGTTCTAAAACAGACTGACAAGGTTTGCAGGCACTGACTTTCCAATATTTAGGTAATAATGCATCACCATACATTTAAACACAAACAACCTTCAGGAGATAATATATAAGTTAAAAATATTCAACCAAACCTGGTGTTAAAGGTACAAGAGTAGTTTTGCATGAATTTCCACAAAGATAAGAGTACAAGGATATCATATCACAAATGGATTTCTAGTCGTAGGTTAATCTCACATCTAATACAGGTATTTAATAGTGAACTAGTGAGTAATGGTCATTACTGAGCATGCTAACAGACTGAGTGACAGTTTGGTATCAGTCACTGGCCATTAACCATGTTACACAGCACTACACATCAACCCAGGAAAGCAGAACTGTCAAATGAAGCATTCAGATCACAGTTTAGGACTGGGTAATCCTGCTAACGTGAAGAACCAGAAAGAAAATTCCAGGCATACACTGGAATATCAAGTTCTCATTTTTTTTGGAAGCAACATCTTTGAAGACAACCAATGCAATAGAAAAGATCTTTGTTGACAGAGAAAGTATCTTTCAGGATCTGAAACTGAACTGCAATCCACAGTTCTTTCTCTTAGAAAGCTGTTGTAATGCAAAGAGGAAATATCAAACCCATTCATTGGGAATTATTCTGCATTTAAGTTTTCACTGGACTCTGAGACCTCCTCCCAAAGCACTGAACCATTTAAACCACTCACAGCCAGTAATTTCACAAAAAATCTGCTTTTACCTGAAACTATACTCCAAAGCATTTATTATAGCATTATTAGAAAAAGCTGCAGTATAGAAGAAATTGCGACCAATACCAGCTAACTTAGAACTAAGTACACTCCAAAACTACCAAGTGATTAGAATGCTCGGCTAAAAGTATATGATTTATGGAGTATGAAATACTTAAGGTAAATAAAACAACTCAAAACTAGCAAGTTCATCAATAATGGCCTAACAAACTGAAAATGCCATTTTATCTGCACTATAACCATGTCCATAACGAGTAGGAGTTATTCAGGTCACTACCACAGCATAATACACTGGATAACTACTGTTCAGTATAGTAATAGTATTAACTATTGTTTTAATCAGGAAGTATCAAAAAGAACATTCACGCTTAGATAAGTGACTAAAGCAGGAATTAGTTAATAACCCCAGATAAATACAAAATGGCATGCAGATAGATCCTTGTCACTCCTCTATGTCATACTCACCCTTTCACAGTACTGCTCAAAGAGCAACTTTTAGCATTACACACTGTGTTGGGTTTGTGTGGTGGGGTTTTGGTAGCAGAGGAGAGGCTACAAGGGTGGTTCCAGTGCAAAGCTGCTACAAGCTCCCCCAGCTCCAAGTGAGACCTGCCTCCAGCCAAGGCTGAGCCAGTCAGCAACTGTGGTAGTGCCTCTGTGATAACCTATTTAACAAGGGGAAAACATTGCTGCAGCAGAGAGAGGAGTGGGACGTGAGAGGAACAACTACACAGACACAGTTAAAGATGGGGAGGAGGTGCACCAGAGCAGAGATTGCCCTGCAGCTCATGGTAGGACAGTAGGCTGTGCCCCTGCAGCCCGTGGAGGTTAACAGTGGAGCAGAGATTCACCTACAGCCCATGGAGGACCCCACACCAGAGCAGGTGCTGCACCAGAAGAAGGCCATGACTCAATGGAAAGCCTTGCACTGGGGCAGTCTGCACCTGAAGGACTGCAACCCTGTGGAAGGGAACCATACTGGAGCAGTTCATGAAGAACTACAGCCCAGGGGAAGGACTCCCAGAGAAGTCTGTGGAGAACTGCCTCCTGTGGGAAGAGCCTCGCATCAGAGCAGGGGAAGAGCATGAGGAGTCATCCCCTTGAGGAGGAAGGAGCAGCAGAAACATGTGACAAGCTGATCACAACCCTGATTGCCCCTGGGAGGGGTGGAGGGGAAGGTGTTTTAAGATGTGGTTTTATTTCTCATTATCCTACTCTGATCTGATTGTTGACAAATTAAACTGGATTTTTCCCCAACCTGAGCCTGTTTTGCCTGTGACCATAACTGGTGAGTCATCTCTCCCTGTCCTTGTCTCAAGCATTTTATTACATGTTCTCCTCATCCTACCTGGCAGAAGGGGGGAGGAGTGAGCAAGCAGCCACATGGTGCTTAGTTGCCAGCTGGGCCTAAACCACAACACATACAATACACAACTATGATAGCACTGTATCTATACATAACATTTAAATTCTTTCAAACTAACCTGAACTCTGTTCTCCCACCCCCTCTTCGACCAACTGCTGCTTCTCCACTCTGCTCACTGCTGATGTTTTATACTGCAGTTTAATATTCTTAGAAGAGAATAACAAGGCCTAACTGAAATTCAGGCTCTTTAAAGGGGCCAAGCCACACACTTCTACATGCTAGAGCAAAGGTTCCCCTCCAAAGAAACTGAACCATATTAATGACAGACATCAATATTAAAGCTAAGGAGCAAAAGAACTAACACTCCCTCACTGTGCTGTTGCCCATTTGCATCATTTTTATTTAAGAATGCTAAAGTATAATGCATTTCAGCACTGTCTTCCCATTCTTGCTTCTTCCACCTCCTCAAATCATAGCACTTTCTCCCATTATGCTGGGAGAATTGTTTGGAAAGCATGGAGCACAGCCCACATTAAAAGACTAAAGCATCATTTCAAACATGGGATGTGCACAGCCACCAGCACTGCAAGACTCAGTATGTCAGCCAAGCAGAAAATCATAGAGCCGTAGAACAGCCTGGTTGGAAAAGACCTCTGAGATCATCAAGTCCAACCATACCTGGCACACATCAGCTTTTGGGAATCTTATGACCATTAGCTCTATTTGATGCAGCTGTATCATTTGAAACTCTGCTCTTACAGAATTGGCTATGGCAATACACATCCAGAAAGCAGGTGAAGCTACATCTATACCTATGCTAACTGCAATGACATTTTAGCATCTGGCAGAAGTTAAAAACCCAACTCTATATTGGAGATGTTGAACAATAAAGGTATTTGTCTTCTACTATCACATCTTTAAAAAACTAGGCATCATCAGATGCACGGTTCTTGAAGCTTCAGAAAAATCCACCTGAACTTCAGAGTGAAATAGCATATTACACCTTGAGCTAACTACTCAGCTTTTCTTGAAGGCTTTAATTTCTTTTCAGGTATTCACAGTTCAAGCTTCCAACCATGTTTTACAGTTACCCATCAGCACACTAATAACAAAAAGCTGATATTAAGGGCAAAGATTTTTTTTTTTATTATTTATCAGAGTTTAACTCTCTCAAAAGGTTACTTGGTTACAAAAACTCATTCTCAGGCACCCTAAGTTACACTAAAGATTTCAGTAGCAGCTGCATAGTATATGTGCCACAGAGTTAGAAGAAAAGGTAGAGCACATTAAACATTCTTGTGTCAGCACAGGTTTTTTATGATCATTTTGCTTTTAGTACTGTAACTTATAGCACAGACTATTGATGTGTCATAATATGACACAAATTCATACCTATCCCTGCTTCACCAAGACAGCTTGCTTAGAGCAGCAAGTTTTAGCATTACCCATCAAATCCAATTCAGCCCATCCACATTACCAAAAAGATAAATACTCCATTTCCATAGGAAGTCTACCAGTACAAAGCAAAGCCTCACTCCTTCACACACCAATCAAAAATTCCCCTTAAAGTCTTAGTCCTGAACACTTGCTGAGACTGCTACTCACTATATCATCAGGTTTTCTCATGTTTCCTCACAATACCTACAAGCAGCAAATCACTTTTAAACAACCTGACAAATTAAGATAAACATAGCCCTAGAGAGGACACAGATTTACACACACCTGAAGATCCCATGTAGGTTTCAAAATCAAAATAGTTCTGAGAAGTTCTATGATAAGCAGGAAAACAGCTTGGGAGATAGTTTAATCACAACTTCCTTAATGTAAAGAAAAGGAGGGGAGAAGCTGGGAGAATGCAGACATTGTAGGCAATAACCTAATGATGCCAAAGACAAGCCTCGTCACTAAAGGACTGATTGGCACAAAAGCATTTGTGTCAAAGACCAGACTGAAACTGGTATCAGGAGAACCTAATCCAGAAGGTGACTAACATGTAATCTTGCCAACCAGCTGATGAAGGGGAAGAGAGCATTTCTAGCCCCTGCAGTACCAGTACATACCAGAGAACTTCCTATGGTCCTCATGACCCTGTATTAGGTTATGAAATATGAAAAAACTTTACACTTCATGGTTCAGATTCCCATGCTATAGAGAAGTGACTTCCATAAACCACCTCTACACAAAGCAGATGCTAAGAAACAACACAAGACATGAAAATAACCATATTACCAAAAATGCCTGAGTTTACTCTGCTTGAGAGCTCACTGTGCTGAAGTGAGCCTACGCAGCTTACTCTCACCTGAAAGCAGGCCTTTCTAGTCAAAGCCAATTGCACACTAGATTCAACTACAGTTTCAGAAAATATTATTTTTAAGAGGGTGTTTAGCACATCATATTAGGTGAGAGCCAGCTTCTGCCACTTTTCGCCTCATGAAATTAACTTTATCTACTGAATAAGCAATACTGGTGCACAAAATCCTCTAGCCAGCTTCCAATATGAGAAGGAAGAGTGCCAAAAACTACATGACTGGGTGGAAGCATGCTTGATTGAAATGGCAACAGAACAGCAAACAATAACAGAATTAGGCTGTCACCTAGACTAGCAGTGTCTGGCTTATGTACCTTGAAAAACCACTACAGCATAGCAGAAGCAAAGGATGCAATTCAGGAATCCACTCATCTAATTAACCCATTAATTCCACTCCCCACTGAGAATACTGAGCCAGTAAAAATTTCATTTAAGTTTCACAGGTTGTACCTCTAGATAGCTTAGTTTTTTACTCTTAGAACAGTCTATTTATACCTCAAGGTATCTGCTACCCTTTAGAATTTTAGAAGGCATAAGACCCACAGGTTAACTGCTTCATTTCACCCTCAGAAGCAATTTAAAACATTTTTCTTTATCACTTGCTAGGTAACAGTAATGCAGAATAAGCTACTGAATATTCATATCTGAAAAGAAGAGAGATACTATCGCCACTGTTGGTGATAGGAAGGAAGGAAATTCAGTATGACACTGGAAGACACTTAAGATTGAAAGTGAACTAGAACTAAGTTCTGTACAACACTCAATTATTGCAGTTATATGCAAGTGAAGTATCCTTCCCAAGGAACTTTAAGTAGAATTCTAAACCATATAATCCAGTGCATAACAACAAAAGTACTAGAGTGAGGTAAGGTACCCCAGAGACAGAAGCTTCAGGCATCAAATTCCATCCCTAACCCTGCAAAAATTTGCTAGTTTTTTACTACTAGTCAGATCTTAATATTTATCTAGTTGCTAACATAGTATTCTCATTTTCCAAGAATTCTGTTTAACATTAGTATGAATGCCAAGTCTCTTCATGATTCAAAAGTGCTACCAAAAGTTGATACTTAACTGTTGACTTCAAAGCTGTAGAATATTACAGATCCAAACCTCATTTTTATACAAAAACTTTTCTTCATTGACTTTACAACTTTTTAGTAGCTACATACCTTATACATGCAAAAACTCCCTTAGAGAATTAAGGAGATACTTTCAGCTGGAACATCAGGTACATGACAACAACGAAGGCCAAGAACCAGATATGCTTTAAGAACCCCCACCCAATTTTAACCAAGTAGTATCGAAAAAATTACTGTTACCATGCAGAGCTATGGCTTCACGGAAGGGTTGCAAATCAGTCTCTACAGATGAGCTAGTTTCTGTTGAAGTAGCTCGGTTAGGGGATACTACAGTCAGTCTTGGGGGAGCTCTAGAATTTCTTGGAGGAGGAACTTTTCCACATAGGAAGCTGATCAAGTCTTCTCTACGAATAGTTCTTCTGCGTTTTTTAACCCAAGCTAACACATCCTTATTTCGCCGCTGATAGCCAATCTGAATTCCTACATCAAAGCTTCGCTGATGGGCATCCACACTTTCTGCAAGAAGAAAGAAAAGTTTTCTTAGTAAGTGTTACAGACAGAGCAACATAAAGTATGGCACATCCCTGATACAGCTTCCTCTCAACCATGGGAAAGAGCAGCATCTTCTGCAGGTTACTGTAAAGCAGTACCAAGTTAGCTGTAACAGATTAGCTAGCATTGAAGATGAGTCCCATTAAATCTGAAGAGAATATTAGCTAAAAAGTTCCACCACCTTTACAAGTCAAGAAGTGAACAGCAACTCAAGCACCACTTAGTAGCATTTACTATACTTCAGGCCAGCACTACAGCACTGTTTATGAAACCATAGTGTATTAACACTGAAAACACATTTGGGCTTGTCAGTCTGAGGAAGGTACTTAAATCAACAGACAATGCACTTTAAGACACAAACTCTTAAGAGTGCATCACTACAGACAAGAAGCACACAAAACCAAAAGTAACAACTGCTTTTCTTGATTTTGATAGGTAAGGAATTTTCAGAAAACTCAAGATTTCTTTAGAGTCTCTCTAGTTCCATCTGAATTTCAATTGCAGAGGCAATTTGCAGGAGGCCATAGCTTTGAAACTAGAACACAAGTGTCCCCAAAGTCTTTCAAATGGGCAACATACCATTTACAAAGGAAGTCTAAAAAAATTTCCTTCCCCATTTAAGATCCCATTGCAAAACTGATATACAAAAAGCTTTAAACATATTTGTAATTAATCCTACTACAAAACACAATTTAATTCTCCACTGATGTAAGTCATCACCTGTGCACATCAGTTATGGCTGTGCCTCTAAGAGACTCTTTAATGCCTTATACTACACTGCTTTCAAACTCCAGTAAGTACATTTCTAGTTACTAGTTTAAGTATCAGTAAATTTCAGATAACAGTAACAGGTGGGACAAACCATAATCTCTACACAATTATTTTCATCTTGTTTGTCATAAATTTGTTATGAAAACTACTGCTATGTTAGCACTTGCTCCATTGAAAGACATCAACATATTCCAATTCCAACTCCAATTTCATTTACTTGATTTCCATACTCTTTTTTTAAATCTGGCACATCTGATTATAACAGCTTTTTATACTCTTTCTTTCCTAATGAAGTCCAACCTAAGAGCCATTTGCCCAGAAGAGTATTAAGAGATCTACTAAAGGACAGCTGATCAAGATATTGGTTTACAGGTAAACAGTGACATATACACCTAATCTCTTCTTCTCACACCCAAAAAAACCAAAATGCTAATCCGAGACTTGCAGTCTAAGGCAGCACTGCATGGTCCACAACAGACAGCACTAAAATCTACCTCAAAGAACAGCACTTCAAACATAACATCACCTACCAAAAAACATCTCAAATTACAGCTAAATCTTCAGGCTTTTAGAAAATAAGCTATACAGGTACACATAGGAGTACACTTAACATGTTCATTACTTTTATGCACTTTAAGAGTATTTTGGCTATGCTGCTTTGTAATTAAAAGGCTAGAAGACTTACAAATGCTAATTCCTTTGAAAGCCATGGCAACATGACAGATTATTCCTCCAGCCATTTTACACTCCACAGCAGCTAAGGTAAACACTACCCAAACACTTGGGAGCCAATGTGGAAACTGACAGTATTCCTTCAATCACTTCCTGAAACACCATGAGAAAATCCTTCTAAGAGGTGAGAAGCCCAGCTTTATGTCAATAACCTGCTTTCTTTCTATACAAGAATGCTTTCCAAAGGACTAACTATGAACTAGTTCTGAGGTCAAACACACTGCCTGCTGATGTAGCCAGGACAAGTTTCAAGCATCCTTACCCTAGGAAAGATTAGATTTTTATGGTAAAAGCTACAACTACTTTGTTTACAAAGTTAAGCTGGCAGGATAAGCATTCAAGTTGCCTACATCCTGAAATTACTGTCAAAACTAACATTACCACTCAGTTTTTTCAATAAAAATAAGGCTCAGAAGTCTCATTCTAATATACACCTAAGACTTTCTACAGTGGCCTTAAATTCTAAATCCTACATTACAAGCCATGCCTTCACTTCTTTAGTGCAATCTGAAAGATAATCAAATATCTTTAAATGTGGCCTCTATCAACCAATCAGAAATTGGTGATCCAAGACCTTCACAATGTGGCATGATATTAAACATCTATTTTCAGAAAAAAATGCTGCCATTCAAGAAGACATCATGGCATTCTCCTCATGCACTATTCCTCCTGTAGCTCTTGTTACAAATAATTTTGATGCCTCAAAATTCTAAACATGTGTCAGATCAGAAACTAGCTTACAGGGTGAGAGGCAGTTTGTGGTGTTCAGTTTACCATACCAAGTATTTCTGCAGTATTTTGACAGAGTCCTCCAAAACACAAACATTACTGAGTAAGCAAGAACCAACAGGAGATTTTTAAAGAGCCACATTCATCACTAGGGAAGGCAAATTCACACTAAGAGATTCCAACTTGCCTGGTATGCCAGTGCTTAGATGGTTCTACCTGCATTCTCCACAAATTTCTACCCACTCAGAAGTTAATTTAAAATTAAAAGTGGCAGTTCTGAATTAACTGAGATACTTCAGCACTTCTTAAAGATCTGTTTAAAGTAAAAGCAACACCTGGAACAAATTGTTAAGTATTACATTACACCTCACAAAAGACAGCTTCCTACTTAAATTCTGGTTTCCCTAATCACCACACACACACTCTTCCATTAATCACATTACTGTAGAAAAATAGGGCTCATTATGCCTATAGTACAAGTAATCAAATGATTTAGCCAAAAATAAACAGCCTGATTGTTGTAAAGACACTGTAAGGGAGACCAGTGTCATTTGTAAAAATGACTATAATTATTCCAGACAACTTGTTAACACACCTGCTGCTACTCTAGCACCATGCTCAAGTGACTAGTGTCCCAGACACTAGTCTAGTGACCCACTTCTTCCAGCCAACATCTACCCCATTATGTGATGTGCTGCCCCTTTATATGACCTTTGACACACACACAACATTCACATGCACTTTCTGCAAGAGTCAAGTCTCTGGCAGCGAGGGTTATGCATCTATATTTCCTCCTTGCTCTGTCCACATCTGTCAGAAAACTACTGATCAGCCATTACAAACATATTAATAAATTCAATTACTTAATGCAAATCCAAATTGAGAAAAATGGAGACAAATGAAAGAACATGCAGGTAAAACTATAGATAATGATGTACAGACAAAAACCTTGTAACTCAAAAAAGCACCTCCAACTACAAATCAGAAAAAAACAATTTGGAACTTCTAAAGTTTTCTCCTTCCTAGGAATGGAAGACAGTAACAATGGGAATCACAGGGTGTCAATTTAAGCTTCCACGGATACAGGTATGATTTTTGTATAATCTTTTAAACAAACTAGAAATCACTGAATGATTCTTCCGCAGAACGACCTACTGACATGACATGGGGCAATGGGCAAAAACTGGAACACCAGAAGTTACAGACAAACCTAAGGAAAAACTTCTTTACTGTGAGGGTATCAGAGCCCTGGGACAGGCTGCCCAGAGAGGCTGTGGAGTCTCCATCTCTGGAGATGTTCAAAACCCGCCTGGACGCTTTCCTGTGCAACCTGCTGTAGGGAACCTGCTTTGGCAGGGGGGTTGGACTGGGGGATCTTCTGAGGTTCCTTCCACCCCCTGCCATTCTGTGACTGTGACAACCCAAAGAAGAGCTGAGTTCAGGAACAGGTCCTGACAGAGAGAAACACACAATAAAACAGCACAAAAGCACAGCCACATGCAGAGTCACTCCTATCAAAGTTTTGGCTAACACTGCTTTCTTACAGCCACCCTGGACACAGTCACAATGACATTCTAATGCTTAAAATAACCTTACCTAAGAAGCCTCACTGTCACAATTATAAAACTTTTTGTCACAGAACATCTATGCAGAATTTCACAAACATTAAACCCAACCTATGCTTCACCACAAACGTTCATGTGTTATACTGATACCCCAACATTTAATACACCACAAAACATACAAAATGCAGGAAATTTAAGAACCATTTAATAAGCTATTGCACTCTTCCCTTGAATTCAAGGGAGCGAGCCAGACATTAAAACCATCCTTTTTCAAGGGTCTCTAAGTAAAACAGCTTTAGTTATTAGTCACTAACATGAGGCAACAGAAAAAGATTCAGCTACCATCAGCTAAAGTGGCCCAGGGAAAACCTGCAAGATTCAGGAAGCAGTCTCGGGTTAGATTTTATCAGGGTGAATAAGAGACATTAACAGGCCCTGCTTATGAGTAAGCCGGAGCAGGAGGCAGAGTGGGGCCCAGCTCGGCGGGGAGGGCTGCCGGGGCAGCGGGGGGGGCAGCCCCTTACCTTTGTAGAGGTTGGTGACCGCAGTGGCGGCGTTCTGGAAGGGGACCCAGAGGGAGAGCCCCGGCTGCTGGCACACCCGGTCTGCAGGGAGG